CATACCTTAGAAAAAATGGATGTATGTGTGTGTGTGTGTGTGTGTGTATGTGTGTGTGTATGTGTGTGTGTATGTGTGTGTGTATGTGTGTGTGTATGTATGTACGTGTGTGTATGTATGTGCGGATACAAATTTTCGTCGACGATTTCGGGAACACGGATCAAGCGATTTGAATAATTCAAAAAACATTCGATTCGTATTGATAAGGAGACGTGCTGATTAGTTTTTGGCGAAGGCAGGTCTAGCCGTTCCGGAGATACGGGGCAAAAAGTGCCGAAAACGGTAACTCAGTTTCTAAGAGAACGGAGCGTCCGATTTTAATAATTCAAAAAACATTTTACTTGTATTGACAAGATAAAGAATTGATCAAATTTTCATAAAGGCAGGTCTAGCGGTTTCGGAGATCTAAGGAAAAAAGTAAAAAAAATGCCATTTGGCGGTCAAAAATGATCATTAGACATATGCACATCGAATTTTCAGATATTTTATAGAGATTTTAACAATAAGTATAAATTTTGTTTATTTTTCTATGGGTTCCGTATCAATGTTTACCCGCTAGACAGCGACGCCGCGCTTACGCGCTTTATATTTTGTATCTATGCAGTTAAAGCAGTACGATTGCTTTGAAAAACAAGTTCAGATTTTCCAAAATATGTCAAAATGAAGAAAACATTTTTTTTTTCAAAAAAAAATTTTTTTAAAAAAATTTTTTCTAAAAAAAAATTTTTTAAAAAAAATTTTTTTCAAAAAAAAGTAATTTTTTGTCCAATTTATAGTTTCTCAAAAATCTTATTTTTTCGAAGTAAATTTTTTTCAAAAATGTTAATCGTTTTTACAAAAAATAATAATTTTTGGTACGGGAAGTTCCAGCAATTTGCCTTAAGGCACGATGCCCTAATTGCCTTAAGACAGAATTCCACTTACAGCTAGTTTCTGTTCCTTTTGTGTGTTTACGTGTCCGTCGTATTATCCTCTGCCTTTAGTTTGCCCATGGACATTGATACATTTTATCAGTGTATGAATCGCGGTGCAAAATTCGATAATGCGGCGTCACAAGCCTGAAACGCGCTCTGCTCATGCGCACGCACGCACCGAACGGCTACGATCGTAGAGATTCTAAAATTTTTCCAACTACGAAATGCTACGTCCATCCACAAACAATAGTAATGGACAATTGATACTATACTTTTTACCGGCGGACAGGTGTATGATAATATCTGGATTTTAAACTTATGTATCCATTTATTGAAGCTTTGAATCTCGGGTAAAAATGTTTTTTGAATCATTTTAATCAGATGATCCGTTCTCTCAAAAACTGCATAATCATATTTCGACACCTTTCGCGCTTCGTACCTCTGAAACGGCAAGACCTGCCTTTTATAAAAACTAACCGGTACGTCTCGCAGTCTAGAAGAACTTTATTTTTCTCTGACGCAAATTATTAATTATCTGCATTCTTCATTGGCATGAAGGGAATTTCCTTCATCATATGGATACAATAGTTTTGTTTTAGTTTATAAAACATACTAATAAAGTTCTTCTTTCTTTTATCAACTGTACATTTTTCTCTAGATCAATTTTCAAAATTTTACTATATTTTATCTGATTCAATTTTTCAATTATGAATGACTATAGTCATTTAACTTCTCGATTAGACAAGTGATTTAAATATTCCAGTTTCATTTAAGTTTAGGAATTTTAGTTTATAAATATTCAAACTTAATATTACACTACCATGTACCAATTTCTTTCTCTTGGTTACTTTTATATTTGATGAAATATGAATGGAAGTAATTAAAATAATAAGATAAAGAAGAGCTTATTTCATAATATGTCTGTGAATAATCTTCTATTTAGCTATAATTGTAAACTTAGGCCTTATTTGTCGACGAAAAGGCTGGATTAGTCGACAAATTGATCTAATCTCGATTAATTCATTGTATTAGTTTGTGATTTTTCGTAATTAATTTATTTGAAAATATTTAATGGCAGTTGATAATCAATCAAAGGATAGAGTTTTATCATAGAGATTTTTTAGATGAAATCTATCGATGATTCTAGTCATTCATTATTAACTAAAAAACTATAATAACGGAAGCACTGTTCGATATATAAAATATTTATATGAAGTACTTTTAAAAAATAATATTAAAATAAATATCTGGACTGTCTACTTTCATTTGCAATTACATTTGACTCATAACTTAGGAATACAATAACATTATTATACAAAATTGCATTGCTTCGCAGATATATATAGAAATTTTACAGTTGTATTGGGTAAAAAACTTATATAAATAAATTAAAGATAAATTGGTAAATAAATTTTCTGTTGAAAATGATTAGTAATTAAAAACTCGAATTTTTATACTAAAAGCATAATATGTAAAAACTACGGTACAGTGATAATTTAAAAGCTCAATATAATTATAAAACATAAAAGCTACATGAATTTTATTCAAAACGAAAAACACTCTAAAAACAAATAAATTTAAACTGATTATATATAAATTTGTAGTACAATTATTAATCAGAATATAAGTAGAAAAAATACTTGATTTTAAAGAACGCCATGCCAAACCATACCTGATCAACCCATAGCAAAAATAAAAAAAACGCATGTCTTTGTGATTTTTTTTTGGAAAAATGCAAAACTTTTACTTTTCTTGCCAAGTAAATATAATATACTGTTTTTCTATATCATATATAAATGTACTGACCTACGATATCTATCAATGCAAAAGTATTGATGTAAAGTATTGACAAGGGTGGAATTCTTATGTACCAATTTCCGTCTAAGTATTATTAACTTCATATAATGAAATATATGTTTCTTGAACTAGAACTTAAAGATTAAATTGCAAACATTTTGAGACCATTGATAGTTTTATTAAAGGTGTAAATTTAAATTCATTATTAATGCAATTAATTTAAATTCTCTATAAATGCATTGCAAAAATCAGTTGTATGCCTATGTGATGGTTATAATAGAGTTACAAAAATGAAGAAAAAAAATTATATAAAAAAAGAGAAAAGGATCCGCATGTATTTTGAAATGGTTTTCAATCCGTATGATGATGCAATACATTTTCTCTACATATGAAACACTGAATATCGATAAAATTAATCTTATTTCCCTCTAATGACGTAACGATTACATAACAGGTAACCGTAACAGTTTGCGTGGAACGGTTTGAGAAACGTATCGGAATTCCAGCAGGATTCCCTTGAGTTTTTCGAGTACTAGGACAGTCAGACTTTGTGCTCCAATCATACTAACCCTATCCCCGTTATTGTTAAGTGGAATAATAATATATTTAAATTTTACACAAACAACATTTATAAATAAAACTAATAAATATTGTTATGTAGTTTTAATATAATCGTATAAATATTATAGTGGGCAAGTATGACATTTCAGCCATATATAAGTATTGAATAATATAGGAGGTGATAGTTTGTTCAAATGCAGTGACAAATCAAAAAATTTAATACAAGTGTTGAAAATGTAAAAATATTGCACGCAATTTAATTACGTAAGCTCATTCTTTAATTACTTTGTTTGAGTATCTTTATTCATGAGGGCGCATTTTATACATGCAAAGATTACACACACACGTATATATAAATATATATATATATACCTTTAATTTTTGCACGACATTGAAACATATAATTAAGATATTTGCAGCCAAATTGAGAAATTACGTGACATACTACACAATCCTATTTTTTATTTTTGTTTTAATTTTATTTTTATTTGTGTCCATTGTTTAAGAAAAAAATAATATTTATTTCTATTTTTATTCTTCCAAGTATAGTATGCACATTCATTTAATTATTTTTTTTGCAATTTTAGTATTTTTTTGTGACAATATTCAAAGTATAGTACAATTTTTCTAAAACAGCTGAAAGATGGCGCTTTTCGTTTGTTATTTAAAAAAATTGTCTGCTCAAAATCTTCATTAATTTAATGAAAATGGAACACAAGTATTTTGTATTCAAAAACAATACCAAATATTAAAATTAACTCTTTCGCTACGAATGTCGTCCATAGACAACATGTAATCGACTACCCGCGTATATGAGTGTCGTCCATAGACGACATCCGCATTCTGTGCTTTTAGTACGGATGTCGTCCATGGACGACATGTTCTGTGGCAGTCTTTGCTTCAAGATTTATCACTATGAGTTGAATACTGGTAATTCCAATTTTTATTGTAATTTTTAGTTTATTCGAAATGTATTTTGTCAACATATTTTCATTGATGATGATTGAAATATCTTAAAATATATCAGTGTACTAATGTAGGGAAGAACATTTTCGTAGCAGAAAGGTTAAATTAATAAACAAAATATGTTTTGATGAGTAATGATGATTCGTACATTCTATATCTAACCACTTCCGAACGTTTTCGGTATCGTAACTTTTATAATTCAATCTGTAGTAATCATTTTTAGTAGTAATTGGTAAATATATACATATACATACATGTATATATACACAAATATATTTATATATAATACATATATATTTATGTATACAGTGTGTGTAAATATATAGATAGTATCTACTAGGTACTACATACATATCTGCATGCTTAATTTAAATAAAATTATAATTGAGAATGACACAATTTCCTGTTGATATTAATTTCCAAGTATTAAGTTGATGCCATCGTTTTTCACTACTTTTGATACAATTTTGAAACCATTTAGTTACGATAAAACTTTTAAAATAATTATAGAATATTCATAAAATATTCTAGATTAAACAAGAAAGTGCAAATTTATTCAAATAACCAATACAGTGATAAACGCATGAATAATTAATACCCAGCAACAGTTCAGTAAAATAATGTTTTTTTGTTCAGTGTTGGAAAAGTGAACTACGATAGGAAATACTGACTAACTAGTTAATATATTGAGAGTTTTAGTAATTTAAAAACAGTTAAATTATATAGGAAGAGGAACGAACAAAGTGATATTAATTTATTAAGATGGGTAAAAAGAATTCCAAGCTAAAGCAAGACACTATAGATCGCCTTACGACGGATACTTATTGTAAGTTGAATATCAGATTATATAATTTAATATGGATATATATATATATATATATATATATATATGATTTAGTAGTTAATTTTGATGTTGAAATATGTGAGTGAGTTCTTGAGGGCGATACATCAAACAAAGAAAAGCCAAAGATTTATAAAATAATCTTTATTTCCAAATAAAGATTATTTTATATATCTTTGGCTTTTCTTTGTTTGATGTATCGCCCTCAAGAACTCACTCATATATATATATATATATATATATATATATATATATATATATATATATATATATATATATATATCAGAAGTATTATGAGGTTATTCTAATCACTATTAGGTTAGAAATATGGATACAGAAGTCCTTGTTATCTGTTGTAAGCTGAAGATTGTACAGCAAATAACAAGGATTTCGGTCTCCACATTTTAGTTATTAGAAATTTTATTTCACAGCCAAAGTCTCAAATTGTCTGTGAAATTAAAATTATTAAATAAGTGCGAAAACAGCACTGTGTATAAAACATATATGTGTATATATATACACTTTTTAACAATAAATAAAAAAGTCACATATTAACTAAAATCACGTAACTCGAAAAAAAAACAAAATTTTTGAGTGAATTGCAAATCTTGAATGAATCGAAGATATGAAATTATAGCCTTTCATAAACTAATTGTAAGACATCATACATTTCATTCGGTAGTTTATATTATTTCTTATATCTGAAGAAATAAATACAATTGTTCTTTAGATATAGTTCGCTTGTATTTTTATCTATTTTTTACAATTATTGTTACCTAATAAAGCCGTATTATTAATCAATAAATAATGAAGATTACAATACAAAATTCAATTTTTTCTGCAAATTTCAATGCAAAAAGCTATCGATAAAATTCATATAACCTCTACAGTTCTTTAAGCCATTATTGTAAGTTTCAAAGTAATATATTATATCTACTTCAAAACAACGCAAAGAACGTAAATGTTTCTAATAGATAGCATTCTTTTATTGATTGAGTTTATTCAAAGATTGGAGAAAATTGAAATGCACGTAAATAAAATATATTTTATAGCAGTTTTCTAAGAATTAAGTTATAAAGGTATTATTTAGATTATTAAGACGTTCGTGGACAGTAAAAGTATCAACAAGATACAGAAATTGATAGTCCGTCAAGTCAAGTACAGAAATTGGTTATGATGATATCAGAAATTTAATTAAATACCATTCAAATCGGTGTAAGATTATTATCTGTCAATCGTTATATATAATGCTATAGCATCCACCGTCAAATATTACGCTTCTATTTTACGCGATGTGATTGCCAAAGGTAATTAGTGACTACGGGAAAAGATAAGATAATGAGAAAATACTTAACGAATAAGTTAGTTATTACCTATCTATGTATGATAATTACAAAAACATAAGGTTATATAAAATTAAATGCACAATAATGGACTAAAATTTTAACCCTTTAGTATCAGGATCATTCTGCATCACAATAAAAATGAATGCTATAGCATTCACGTTTGCTAAGGTATTAAGAGTATTGAGAAGGTATTAAGTTTGTGCCAGTAACGTGATTATTAACCAACAGAATGTTACAACTTTAGCACTTTGTACGGATTTTTAACTTCCCGTAGGGTAAGTTATAGTAATCGCAAAAAAAATCGAAAATGAAAGTTGGCATACCTTACAATTAGAAAAAATTAATGTATGTGTGTGTGTGTGTATGTGTTTGGAAACAATTTTTCGTCGACGATTTTGAGAACACGGTTCAACCGATTTCATTGATTCAAAAAACATTCGATACATGCAGAGGAAGGTTTAACCGTTTCGAAGATATGGGGCGAAAAGAGCCAAAAACGATAACTCAACTTTAGAACGGAGAGTCCGATTTTATTAATTAAAAAAACATTTTACTTATACTGACAAGATGAAGAACTGATTGAATTTTTGGAGGCAGGTCTGGCGGTTTCGGAGATCTTTAAAAAAACGTAAAAAAGTGCCATTTGGCGGTCAAAATTGATCATTAGACATATGCACATCAAATTGTCAGATATTTTACAGAGATTTTAATAATAAGTATGAATTTTGTCTTCATTTCTATGGGTTCCATAACATTGTTTACCCGTTAGACGGCGACGCGGCGCTTACGCGCTTTGACATTTCGTAAAGAAGTACGATTGCTTTGAAAAAAGTTCATAATTTCCAAACTATGCCAAAATAAAAAAAACTTTTTTTTTTCAAACATTTTTTTTTTAAGAAAAGGTAATTTTTTGTCGAATTTATAGTTTCTCAAAAATCTAATTTTTTCGAATCGTTTGTAAAAAAATAATAATTTTTGGTACGGGAAGTTCCAGCAATTTGCCTCAAGGCTCGATGTCATGCGCCCCACTAGTTATTAAAAATGTTACGACTTCAGCTCTTTGTACAGATTTTCAATATTTTCATTAAATACTCTATATTGCTGACCTGGCGAGAACGGCTATTGAGCTAATATTGCTCAATCTGCGGACGGAGCTCGAACCCGCCCACTGGGCCTAACGGTCAGAGGGTTGAGTTCGGCCTTTACCCTTGCTCACCCGGGCACTCAATGCTTTCCGTATAAGTATTCAAGGTAATGTTCAAGTTTCTGCCCTAAATAAGGTGCGAGTTTTCAACAAGCACTGTGAAGACACTATTTATGGGGGAACAGTACAAAAAATAAAAAGAATATATAAATATATCAAGAAGAAATATAAATATAAATATACTGATTTACTATATTATTATTATTATTGTTATGGCTTGCTTGTATATGCTTGTGTAAATACGTAATGAAGATACTTCATGAATAAATTATTCACTTCAGTATGAGATTATATAGATACATTTGATAAAAAGTAAATATTTTTAGTTATAGGAACGTTGCGTTATTTGTTCGTTTATATTATAAATAAGTTAAAGTTGATATGCAGGTACTTATATTCTGAATATGTAAGAAGTCAAATATTGTTTTTGTAAATAAGTATAAAATTAATCTACAAATACACATTTCAAAATTGAAACTAAAAATTTGAAAAATAGGTATTTCTAAATTAGTCAATATTTAGTAAGTGAAAACTAAACTGTGAACTGGAGCAAACTAGCTCCAATATAAATTGAGGGTGCTATGACTTTATATACAAGTGCAAAAAAGTGTATCAAAAATATCGATGTCTAATAAAATCATCAATGAATTGGAAAGTATTGATTTTTAACTAAATCCGCCTAATTAGCGAAATCCAATTATATCAAATAATGAATAAAAACGTTGCAAGCACAACCGTGAAGTTGAACAAAGAATTATTTATGGAAAAGCTCTCCAACGAACAATTTATGAAATTATATATATTTATATATATATATATATATATACGAGTATATCCAACTAGTTGAACATATTACAGATTTTTCTACTTGTTGTATCAAAATATAATGAAAATACTTCAATAAATTTTTCATTTTAATATCGGGACATTAAAGCATTCTTTTTATATAGATAAATATTTGATAAAAAAAATTCTGTTTTCTTATTAGGAACGTTGTGATATTTGTTCGTTTTTATTAGAAATAACTTAATAGTTGGTATGTAGTTTTTTATATTTTAAATATATAAGAAGTCAAATGCAGTTTTGTAGATGAGTATAAAATTATTCTTCCACACACATATTTCAACGTAAAAAGTGAAAATTTGAAGAAAACAGGTATTTATAAATTAGTCAATAATTAGTGAATGAGAACTAATCTGTAAATGAAACAATATTACAGATTTTCACTATTATTTTTCTATCAAAATATAATGAAAATAGAAGAGAAATTATTTCTTTCAATATTGCGCTATTGTGGCATATAGGTATATTTGATAAAAAAAATATTCTAATGTACCCTTATTAGGAACGGTGAGTTTTTTGTTCGTTTTTGTAACAAATAATTTAATAGTTGGTATGGAGGTTTTTCGTATATTTCGAATATAAAAGAAGTCAAGTACTGTTTCGTAAATGAGTAAAAAATTAATCGTCAATCACACATATTTCGAAGTAAAAATGAAAATTTGAAGAAAAAAATATATTTATAAATTAGCCAATAATTAGTTAATGAAAACTAAACTTTGAACAATTTACGAAATTATTTATACATCCGACTAGTTGAACATATTACAGATTTTTCTATTATTGTTGCATTAAAATATAGTAGAGACTTTGATATTCCTAATATTTAATAAAAAATATTTTAATGTATCGTTAATACGAACGGTGTTCTATTAGTTCGATTTTATTACAAATAAATTAGTTGATATAAACAAAAAATCAAGAAATTTGAAACTATGAACAGTTTATGAAATTATTTATTCCTCCTACAGTTGAATATATGATTTAAATAAAAATTAAGAAATTAGTACAAAATACAATCGTATAAATAGTACAAAAGTTCACCGATATGTCATTTAAAAATTTACATATAGATTATTGCAAACGTGTGATTTACAAATTTGGTATTTTTAATGTTAATATCTCATTTATAGGTGTTAAACTCACAAAAATTATTATTACTTTATTATAGCATTATTATAGTATTTACTTTAATTTGGCATACATATCGAGGTACTTACAAACTTTATTCTATAAACTTCTCACAAACTTAAATTTATTTCCAAGATCAATATCTAAGCGATACCTAAAGTATATAATTAACTCAGTAAAGTAAATAAAGAATTAGATCAACCGAGTAATACTATAGTTGTAAATCGTTTTTTATTAACTGGAATTATTTGAACTTTAATAAATGTAATTAAAGTACTTTTTTAATCAAATAAAATCGAACCAGCAATAATTTTTGTACTTTTAAAAATTTCAATATTGCGAGTACATATATAAATTCTCAGAAAACAAAACTTTTAAATTATTATTAGTCAAGGGTATATCAGAATCTGGATATCGATCAAATAGAATATTTATGAGCAAAAGTAATACAATTCGTGTATGGCGTTTTATAATCGCTTGACAATATCATGAAATATTGAATATTTTATGAGTTCTATGATTTTTTAATGAACGGATTTTTGTTTATATTTTGATAATTTTACCTTTTTAAATATTTTAAGAGAAAATAGATAAAAGTACATAATCTAATTTGATATTTAATGCTCTTGAACCAAGAAAATACTTTTAGCCGTTAAGAAAATGAAAAATGCTTTTTATTTAACTATTCTGGATTCCTAAAGATATAACCGCCACGTGTCTGGAATTTATGTGCACTCTGCCATAATTTGAATAATATAATAAATACAACACGCACCTTTTATGACAATATTAACTTGACATATTGCTATTCTACGTTCTTTATTAAATATCTTTCATACTATCATCAAAATATAATTCGTTATAAATGCTCATATGAAATGACAAATATTATTAAAAGAAAAAAACAGTGCGCTCTTATTTTTCATAGATATATAGTTGTGTAAGAAAAATAATTTTATAAAATTAAATATTGTATTTTAGAAGCAAGGGGTTGTTTATACACATTAGCTAACTCGGTAAATATTTCTAGAATATTATTTTTAATTTTTAATTATTCTGAATATAGAAGAAAATGGTTTATAAGTGAAAGGGGCAGCGAACACAAATTAAAATGATGATTTACTTGGCCCATTGCAATATTAATAGCCATTGCAATTGATTTGGCACATTTTGATATTCAAGGTTTTCATTTATGTATTATTATTAGATATATTCATCAATTCATTAATTTTTTGATTACGAAGCAAACTACTAAAATTCATCATTTGTGTCATGCTAAGCGAATCGAGCGTTGTTTCAAAATCTTTAGAAAATTGTCCAGTTCCCTCAGTTTTATGTCCAGATTCTGATATTAAATTTCTACATTTTGTGCTAAAATTTCTCCTTCTGCAGAAACTATTTACCATTTGAGCACATCGGAAAATATTTGTATCTTAGAATAATCCGGTAAATCAGAGATTATCCGAGAATTGATCGATAATTTGATGTATCTAGTTTTATCGATGATAACCATCTAGTCGCCAATATCTAAGAATTGCTTTGAAAATTTTGCAATGGATAGGGGTAATATATTCAAGCTTTTCTATAAGCTCATAAATATTTTGATCGAAATTCAGTGAAAAACGTTCACAAAAAGACGATAATTAATCTATATATCTATACTATATGAAAAATAATTGGGTTACCAATGAAAAATTAGGGCCAAAGTATTTTTTAGTTAAGAATAATAAAAAAATTAAATAAAAAATAGAACCAAAAAAAAAAATTAAGGGTAGCAAACCCTTACTTCTTGAATGAAAAATAGATAAGGCATATAAATATTTATAAATACATATTTATTTCTTTTATAAACATATAGAGTATTATTCTTGATTCCCACATATCTGTCACATGATGTACGTAAACGTATTTACTAATACACTTGATTTAAATTATTCATGGCTAAACTACTATAATAATTATTGAGATAATTGCTTCGACGCGTTCCATAACTACTGAGGTCATTACTGTTATCATAATTGATCGTAAATACATACTTGTGGCAAAATACACGCAAACGTTCAATTTAATTCAATCACAACACCATTTTCGTTATTATTTTTTTTAAATATTTAACATGAAATAGTAAAATTTTATAAAAATAAATAAAAAAATATAGCGCGTGATTTTATTAATAACACAGAAAAGTAATTGAACATGAATCCGTTATTATTTCACTAGTCCATTACCTCTAATGATTATTTAATTACACGATTTCAATTATTCTTCGCAATTAGATTTTACCCGAACCAGTTGATAAATGTTTAATTTAACCGATCGTGCTTTATGCATTTAAATTGACTTTATATTATTTTATTATCAACAATCAAAAGATGTAACCAATTATGAAAGCGACAATTTATAATTGAAAATCAACTTATATTAAAAATTATGAATAATATTTCCACAAATGCAATCATCTTCAAAAATGTGATCAAGTGACCAAAGCAAAACATTTTTTGTAAAAAGATTTAATCGAAAGTATTTACTTATATAATAAGTATAATATTTATAATAAATAAAATATAAAATATAAATATTATTGATGTAAGAACCAATATTATTATTGAACTTTTCAATAAAAAGAAATATCACTAGAGACTTTTAATAAATAATATGCAAAAGAGCAAGAATATTTATTGTTGCAGTTACTTTTCGTGTAGAAGTTATAAAAACAATTTAAATCCAATATTGTGAAAGAATCTGAATTGTTACCATAAAGTTTTCACAAGCAAAAACCCTTTAAATCTCCTATACTCATACAAGGGTTTAACTTCAGGAAAGGGTACATAAATCCTCAGTTCAGTATAAAATATAAAAGTATATACATTTGTCTACACAAAAGATATATATATATATATATAAGGATATATTTCAGATATATCTAATCTCAGCTTTCAATGCCTATATTTCCTCTTGTCTTGTTTATCAATTCAATCAATCAATCGGTTATCAATCATCTGTATTTTTTTTCCAATCAAGATTTCTTTTCGTTCTAAAACCTTATCCAAAGAGTATAAAAATAGGATGATATGTATGATATTATACAGTAAGAACTTTAAGAATATAGTATTAGGATAGTTTCTATACAAAGGATGAAGGGGATGAAGTGTAATATTTTTGATTAATTTTCTAGTATGAGCTTTGTATATGTGCTCTTATTCATTAATATTGAGGGAAATTATATTCGGGCATAATTTACTGATAATGATCATAATGTATTAATGATGACTTATGATACATTATTTGTTAATAGTACAATGGCAGCGATTCTTTATGTTTATTTAGTATTTTAATGTAATTATAACTTGAAAACTTAGTTTTAGAGGCAAACTTTGAAAATTGTTATAAAAATGAGATATAATTTTAAATGAGAAGCATATTTTGCCAAAAAACTAATACTTTCCGTTCTATAAAATCATATTTAAATGATTTTTTTTTCAACATTTTCAAATAAATCAAACAAAATGTTGAAAAAATTAGAAAATTTTATATGTATTATATAATATGTAAATTTCAACTAACTGTTCATATTTTTGTTTCAGTTACAGAAAAAGAAATTCGACAATGGTAAGTTCAATAAAACAAATTCAGTTATATATATATATATATATATATATATATATATATATATATGTGTGTGTGTGTGTGCGTGTGTGTGTGTACGTGTGTGTATATGCATAAAATTATGAAAAACTTAATTTTTGGGCATAAAGAATTCGATTTAATGATGTGATAATATTTTACATGATATCATATGCTTACAATGGTCACGGATTGGTTATATATTAAGATTCTCTTCACATTGTTGTAGGATGCTTAATAGATTCTCGTCAGAATCTCATAAGATTCTTATTAGATTCGATTTTATATATATTTCGGGTATAGAATTACATTTACTCATTATAGAAAATAAATGATCTTAATCAAGCAAATAAAATTTGAGTTATTTAAGTTATTTAACCCAATTAAATAATAGTAAATTCGTGCTAACCCACAAAGATGGTCTGGGAAAGTGATATTGGTTTCAAAATTTGAACATTATTTTATAAAGTTTATTTAAAATGGTTTACAATATTTTTGTCTTAAAAATTATATAATTTTTACTATTTGATCTCTTTGTTCTGTTTCGTATTCAGATTGGAAAAAAAGGAAATTTTTGGTAAATAAAATTCTAGTTTGAAGTCAAAATCGAATTTGAAAATGTTGCCCTCGTAAAGGGGCGTTCAATAATCACGTGAAGTTTTTCGGGGAAGGAGGGGTTTGACAAAAAATCACGAAATATCACGTGGGGGAGGGAGCGGTATAGTAATATATCATGTGTACTTATTTTTTTTCTGATTTTTTTTTTAAATCCAAATATTTTCAAGAAAAATCAAAAATTTTACAAATATTTTTCGTAACTAAGAATACATGTAATGTTTGGTGGGGGGGCGGTGGTAAAAAACGGGGGTCGAAAAAACCTTAAAAAATCGATCACATGATTAATGAACGCCCCCTAACACAAATATTTGTAAGGATTAAATATCAGTCATCTCTAATTAGTTTTAAACGAGATTCCACAATAAAAATGAATGTTTTCTTTATCTTTAAAACTTGTAAGCAAAACACATCCTTTGGACAATTTGCATGATCTTAATAACGTTTTTGGGTTCGTATCATCCGCATATTGCTTTTTATGTATGCTGATAAAAAGCTGTTGCGTAAGACGGAAAGTATGATAAAGCTCTAGCATGCATTTTGGAAAAAAAAATCAACATACCAATATCTTCTTGTTTGTCCCCTTGTCTTATTTTTACTATACTGCCTCTTAGAAAGCTCTAGCTTTATGTGTTTTCCTTTCTTTTTGGTTATTTGCTATGGGGCTTGCTCGCAAATATTTGTTACATGTGTTACACATGTTGCCTTTCTCACCCTTGCCGAAAATTCTGTAGACAGAAATTGTATTTAGTAACAAGAAAAATGCAATATATATATATATATATATATATATATATTTATATATATATATATATATATAATTTTGAATTGGATTCCTGAGAGCAATAATCTATATAATCCTAAGAACAATAATACAATCATGTATAGATCTATAAAAACATGATTTTTTTCAAAATATATGAAATTATATGAAATGAAATACCATAAATTAATTGATAATTTATTTTTACTAATAACAATAATCTATGCTATAGAACTACACCTACAAAACAATTATAATGATTAATATATAATGTTTTATATATAATAATGTACTTCATAAACATAAACATAGCTTTCTTAATAGTCATAGGTGTTTTAATAGTTATAAAATTCCTGAATCATCTTAATTAGTTTGTTCATCGTTTCACTCATCGTTTTTCATCGCGTTTGCATTCTTAAGATTCATATTTAACTTGGTCTTACACCTCACCCTTTTTTCTTTAGTATTTTTTATAAAAAAAAAATCTCGGGGTTTTTGTTATAACTAAAACATATAATAATCTGGATTAAATTTTTTAGACCTGGATTTATAACTGAAATTTAAATTATTGGACATGACATAGGCAAAGATTGTACCAATGGCCAAGCTACTACTCTATTTAAATACTATTTATTTTTATTTTACTGCACTAATGTTTTAAGCATTTTTTTTTCACTCTTTTACATGATTAAATAGATAAGGAAAGTAAACTTTTACCATCATTATGTGTATTTATAAACTGTTGTTCGGACGTATTTTCGTTTTATTATATTGGCCATGAAGGTGACAACCTTCAGGGCATTAAGATTTGCACAGAATGGTTTCTACCCCAGGTAGAGGGATAGCGGAGTGTTTTAATTGAACTAGTTGTTCACTTGTAAATGTAGTAACTAATCAGTGATTGTAATTAGATCTGCAGCAAATACATAATATACAAACAAATCAGTGTTTAATACAGTCCACAGCTACAAGGGTTAAATTATAACCCAACAACCTGAGTATCGAAGGAGAGTTTTAATATATTTTATAACTACGTTACATAAAGACAACTGTAGAAATCTTATTCATGGTTTAAAGTATTAATGACCCAGAATTGAAATATTGATCCAATAAAAATATGAGAAATACTATTTGAATATGCCTACGTTAAAATTAAATATAACATATCGAAATTTAGATTGAACGAGAATAAATTTCTATTTTTTTGCAGATTGGGATCAAATACAATTTTATTTTTCTTCCATACCATCTCTGGTAGGATATTCGCTCTTAATTTAATAAAGAAAAAATTTGTGATATAAACCTACATAAAATTATCTCACATTTTTTTATTTTAGAACATTGTAAGACTTTATTAGATTAAAGTAGATGTATAGTTTCCTCAAATAAGGATGTACCAGCAAGACAATAAAAGTAAAAAACAAGGAAGCTTTTTACAAAGAGCTTTCATAGCACGTCTATTATATACCAAATATAAAAGATGGCGTAAAATGTGAAACGTGATCGTTCCCTTAAGTAATGTTCTCTAGCGATATATTTATGGCTTTATAAGCTACGTTGTTTTCAATTGAGTTATATTAATAATATAACGAGAATTCAAATCGACTTGCGTGCTGGAATACTAAAGTGCAGAATAGGTCTATACATTGAAGTTAATTAGATGTCAGACTTTGTTTTATTCATTGGCTTCTGTCGAACGGAATTAACCCCAAGAATTATTTAGCCAATACAAATGAGAGGGAATTGCGGTGAAGAAATAATGATCGTGTTTGCAAAAAGTTTGCTGGGCGCTATTATAAATTATAAATGGTTGTTGTAAAGAAGATGTAACAAAGTCGGAATATTAATTGGTTGACTACATACATACAAATGCAAATGTCCATTAAAGAACAAACAAATGATTATTTGATGCTAGTGGTGCATGGCATCATGCCTAAGGCAAAGGATTTTTTTAAAAGATTTTTTTATCATAAGAAGACTCTCAAGATCTACAACAATTAAACTATTTGTATCTTATTACATTTTTTTTTCTTCAAGTTATTGTATTAGATATTACTAATGTTAGGCTTAATATTGTTTAATAGTTGTATTTTACTGTAATTAATTCAATTAAGATAATTTATTTTATTAATTCAATAAACTAAAAGTTAAATAATAAAAAAAAGTGCTGAAACTTCCCGCATCGTTTTTTTTTTTTTTTTGAAAATGTTGATAACTTTTTTTCTGAATTTTATTTGTTTTAACTTTTGTTGTGTTGCAGTCTTTAAAGTTGAACATTATTATATTACATCTTGGTATGGAACCCATAGAAATGTTAACAAAATTTGTACTTATTGTTATAATATCTGATAATTTGATATGCACGCCTAATGATCATTTTTGACCACCAAATAGCATTTTTTTTAATCTTTTTATTGGGTCATCGAAAATGCTGGACCTGCCTTTCCAATACAAGTGATTATTCATTCATTTCCTCAAGTGATTTTTTTTTTGAATACGGTGCGGGTTTTTTTATTCCGTATCTTCGAAATGGCTGGACCTGCCTTTGCTATTCAGCATGTCTTCCAGTAATAGGAATCGATTACTTCTTTAAATCATACAAATTGGTTGGTCCGTGCTCTGAAAATCGTGTACATTTGTATCCAAATATACACACATACGAGTATATACTCGTATATACTACATACACGAACACAGACATGGTATATGCACAAACACATACATTCATTTTTTCTAAGGTATGCCAAAAAGTTCAGAAGCATTTGAAACGTAAAGATATGCAAAACAATCATTTTTTGGATTTGTTTCGATTACTATAACTTATCTCCTACGAAAATTTAAATTTATTTGTAATTAAAGTTAGTAATAGGTACGAATAATTTCATTAATTTTTTATTAATTTTTTAATTTTTATATATCTTCAAAAATCATTTAAAGCAGCACTTTTATTGAATGATTATAGCTATTATTACTAGATTTTTTTTAAGTTTAAAATAAATTTTATAAATCAGAGTCATTAAATTTAATTTAATCAGGGTTATAAAGAAAATTTTATAACCCGCTCACAAAAATAAAATTGAGCATGCGACTAAAGTATCAAGAATTAAATCTTTATGTTCCAATAATAATTTTTTTTATAACTTATTAATATTTATAACTCAATAAGATTTAATATTTAATATTTCTCATTAAAATAAACATCAATTTTATTTATTAACGTATTAATTAAATCTGCAAATTTAAAACAAAATTATAAATTTATTTTTGAAGAAAAATAGAGAAATTATCATTAAAATTGAAAATGAAACAAATTTCTGGATTACAACAGTGTAGATTCAATTGTTGTTGTAATTATGCAAGATATTTAGTTCTTTCGACTCGGATGCCGTGGCAAAAAAATTAAAAATAACACTATAAAAATAATAATGTATTTATATTAGACTGTAAGTAGTAATTGTAATTGTAATTTAAAAGCCAATAAAAATAAAAATAAAATAAAATAAAGATAATAATGATAATAATAATAATAATGTAAATTATTTAATAATAAAACAATAGAATATTCATTCTCAATGATAAAAAATTATTTTGGTTGACTTATGTTACAGATTTTGGGGCTATCTTTCCAACTATTTAGAATTCGATTTTACTTCGCAAACGCGTCGACAATAATCAGCCCATATTTTTCTTTATCAAAATACTTATGGTCAAATAATATTGAGTTGGGATAAAACCAAAGTTTATCGAAAAAACATAAAAATAATACGGTTCCGAACCGTAGCATTAAATCTGCAATAAATGCTTTAAGGTGCCCTTTTCTCCAGTCAAAGTTGAGACCACAATATATAGAGGGAGGATTACAGGATAGACTTTGCACCCATATTCGCACAATTGCTCATGTTTCTCTGAAAGTTTCAAGTGGAATCTCAAGCACGGTATAATGTTCAAGTCAAGTGCTCCACTTAGAAAACATAATGACTTCAACCTCTCGTTTAAATAGTTAGAGTTAGTGGGTTGAATTAAAGTGACTATAATTTCAACTTCCCGTGGGGTATGTTATAGTAATCGCAAAAAAAATTGAAAGGGAAAATTTTTGCATATCTACGTTTTAAAGCCTTCTGAACATTTCGATAAACCTTAAAAAAAAATAGAAGTGCGTGGATGTAACCGATTTCAATGATTCAAAAAACATTCGAGTTTTTTGATGGGAGAGATTAGTTTTTGGCAAAGGCAGGGGGGGGGGGCAAAAGTGGAAAAATTGAAATCTTTGGGGAAGGCAAGTCCAGAAGTTTCGAAAATCCAAATAAGAAAATATACATTTCGAGACAAACCCATAAGTGTACAATTTTTAAGGAAAAGGAGTTTCATGAATCTGTATTAAATAAAGACCCAAACATTTATGTTTCTATACCTATTTTTTCAATTTATGACAACCATGACGATCAAACTGGGTATAAGCATGTTAGTTCCATAGATCTTATATCATGCAATGGTCTTGTAAATTATTTTGCCTAATCTCCATCTAAAACTAGAGTTTCTATAAAGCCTTAGATAATGTGCAAAGGTGAAACAACCAAACAAACAAAGCAAACTTTATAAAAAGTTGCTTTTTATAAAAACCTAAAAAAATGTAATTTGCGGTAAAAATGATTATTAGGCTTATATACGTATGTGAGTGTGTATTTTAGACAAAAATTTTCATTTTGTGAGCATTTTTTTGTACCACGTCTGCACCAATTTCAAACATTTAAAAACCATTTGATAAAACTCGATAATAAGGACTCGATTTAATTAGTTTATCGCTGAGATCGGCTGTGTAGTTTCTTCGTAATTTATTGTTAAACTTTTTTTTACCATTTTATTTAAACTTTGCATATCAATAGAGATCATGATCATAGTCTTAAAAACATCCTAAAATAATACAGACCCTTCACAACAAGTGCCAAAATAACACTTACACCTTGTTTCAATTTATTTGACTCTACCCTTTATTATTTCATTAATTTTTAATATACTTTGTATTTTAGCATTAACATATAGAAACTCTTCTAATATCTAACAGGGTTTAATACACGTTAGATATACTGATGGATGCTTAATTTTACTAAATCTATCAAATATTTTATCGTATCACATAGAAGTTTACACCAAATGACAAATTGCATTTAAATATGAAGATGACACTATCCCTAAAACAATTATCATCACCCAAGCTTTTCTGTCTTGAGAAAATAATGGAATTATATAATTTAACAAGAAGATCCGAGGATTTTCTCATTAGCAATATCATAAGATAACAGCATTTAATTTGAATATATTTACTTTCAGGCATAAAGGTTTCTTGAAAGATTGTCCAAATGGTCTACTCACAGAACAAGTAAGTAATAGTATAATAAGTATTCAAGGTAATTTTATTTGTACAGGAATTTAATTCATCATTGAAAATAGTATTATGTTTTATTATGATTATCATTACTATTTGGATAGAAATCAGAACTGTGTGTTCTGTGAGCTCTGAAAAATGTAATTCCATAGACTATTATTACTGTAAAGGCAATCCAATGGTTGACGATTCTCTTTCTTATGAACATTAGGTATTTTTGTAATAGGAACGTGATATATATATATATATATATATATATATATATATATATATATATATTAGGGTGGTCCTTAAAATGGTCATTGTCGATTTTCCTTGCTCCCAGGGGCTCAAATGGTTCCAAATTGATAAAAAACAATTCTCTGAAAGTTTTAGCTCTTAATATTAACGTTTAGATAGAGCGCAATTCAATCAAAGTTTGTATGGAAAGAGCATGGAAAAAATTTTGAAAATTTAAAAAAAAATGTGTTAGGTATAACTTAGCGACAAATGAATAAGTTTTATTCATTCATTTGTTCGCTAAATTACATCTAAAAAACATTTTTACAATTTTTGAAAAATTTTCCATGCTATCTCCATACAAAACTTTGATTGAATTGCGCTCTATCTAAACGTTAACATTAAGAGCTAAAACTTTCAGAGAATTGTTTTTTATCTATTTGGAACCATTTGAGCCCCTGGGAGCAAGGAAATTCGAAAATGACCGTTTTAAGGACCACCCTAATATATATATATATATATATATATATATATATATATATTGTGGCTATAACTCGAAAGTATATTTTCACTCTATACCTTACTCTATGGTCTGATATCACTACTGCTCGATTTCAAGATAAGCGAGATGGGTATCGAACCCATATCACTCGTTTGAACTAAAATTCAAACCTTAAAAATATAGATCAAAAATATGTTTCCAAGAAAATGAAAAAAAAAATAGAAATGAAAAAATACATAAAAGTTATGTAGACAAATAATGCTCTAGCAAAGCTAAAACAGATATAAAATAAATTTTAAATAAATTTATTAATAATTTTCCAAATCAAAGAAACCAAAGTGAAGTTTGAATATATTAACTTATTATTATTTTACAGGGGTTTATCAAAATATACAAACAGTTCTTTCCGCAAGGTGATCCAAGCAAATTTGCTTCTTTGGTCTTCCGAGTTTTTGATGAAAATAATGTGAGTGTTGTCTTATTTTCCTTTCTTAGTGCTATTGTAAAAATTAAAAAAAAAAAAAATAGAAGAAAATTGGAAAAATTCATTTTATATAACCATATAACACCAATTTTAAGTGAAGAGTTATAATATTTTTACAGGATGGCTCTATAGAATTTGAAGAATTCATCAGAGCACTCTCGGTCACGTCCCGTGGAAATCTGGACGAAAAACTGCATTGTGAGTATTTTTATGCTTTTTAAGCTTAATTTATACAATGTCATCCTTAGACTGAGCAAATTTTAAAGATTTTTTAAACCGCATCAATCCTCAAAAACTAAAATTCCCGGTGACTCAATAATTCAACATCAATTTTATTCTTTTTTATCCCTTGTGATTAATATAGTTTTATTATTACTATCAGAATTTATTTTCGTGTACTTTTATAATGTTTGTTTCTTGGATTTATATTATAATAATATCATTAGACCGGTAATTTGTCCTTGAATTTCTTTTTATTTTGTTTCTACTCTAATGAATTTATGTTTGTTACTCTAATGAATTTTTTTAATAAGCATCTATTGACTATTGCAGTAATAATATTAATTTAAAAATGTACTATGTTATTTCTATGCATATATTGGTGTAATATAATGCTATACTGTATCCATGTATGATGTGCAATTTCAGGGGCTTTCCGACTTTATGATGTGGATAATGATGGATTTATAACAAGAGACGAAATGTACAATATCGTCGATGCTATATACCAAATGGTGGTATGTATTCAACTTTTATACAATTCTTAATACCGATAGCAAAATTTACGTTATAAATGATATTCAGTTGGAAAAATAAGATAAGCTCAAACTTTGATCAGTAAGTTAATCTACTGTAGTGGTATTCACCCTTTACAATAGTTATAAATAATATTATAAATTCGATGTAACGGTCAATATGAAAGACGCATTACGTTGCTGACTCACAGCTCATAGATTGTATTAGAGATATGCAACATTGTATGCAGGCCTGTAACGGTTTTCTTCGATAACAAACCACAAAACTACGTCTAAGTAAACAGGAGTGAGTCATTGTAACGTATATTTCTAGAAGAATGATTGCGTCACCAACGGAGATTATAAAAAGCCGGAGGACGGGCAAAACGTGGTCACTCATAGCTTACTTGCCAAACAGTTCACATAACTCTGATTTAAAATATCAATTGTGTATTAAGTGTAACTAAGTAATGAATTAAATAAAATTTATAAAAGTCTTCAGATGTTTAATTAAATATTTCACAGTGGTAAAGTTTATGAAAAGCAGCAGAAGAACCTAAATTTTCATTGTTGGCATCGATTGGACGCAACATAACTGTTGGTGACGGCCTCAACATAAATTGTTGTAAACCCAGGGGTGCACAACACTACATATACATAAAAGGTCGGGTTTTCCTTCGTGACGATATAACTCCAGAATGCACGAACCGATTTCGACAAATTCGTTGAAAAGTCTCGGGTTCCGCAAGATCTATAGCTAAGAAAATTAGTGGTGCATGGCATCGTGCCTTAATGCAAATTGCTGCAACTTCACGCACCGTAAATAAAAATTCGAGTAATGACATTAGTTAGAATTATCAGAATTATGCTTGGTTAAGTCAACGAGCAATTCCTGCCGCAAAGAATAATGATGTACACGCACTGAATTTCACCATTCAATCAAAAATTGCTGACGATTTGGTGACATATCAATGATTCCGACTGGTCTTCCGTTTGACTTCAAACGATTGCAATTTCCAGTTCGCCTTGCGTTCGCAATAACAAGTCTCAAGGCCAATCGCTTAGTGTTTGCGGAATAAATTTCAAATAGATTATTTAGAAAATCATTGTTTTTCACATGGGCAGTTATACGTTGCCTGTTCACGAGTGGGGAAACCATCCGCTTTGTTTGTGTTAACGTCAGGCCAAAAAACAAAAAATATGGTTTACCATAGAGCACTTCAATGAAACGGATAATTTGCTGATTTACTTTCAATTACTTAGAGAAGTTCAACTAAAAACACTTCATTTTTGTAATCGAAATAAATTCATTACTGTTGTGTAATAAAATCAAATTTTTCGTTTTTAAATATAAAACAAACAAAAAATTTCTTCATATTTCTCACGAAATCATCTGGTGGCGAAACGGAATTTGTCGGGTTTGCTAGTATATATATATATATATATATATATATATATATATAATACATATATCACAGTCAAGAACTTTTCTTGCACGATTGTTCGAAATAAATGGATGACGACGGCGATTAGGAAGTTCGGACGTCTATAGTTTGGCTTCTTTGTGAAACTTGCAATCATTTTTAAACACGAGTTGTTCGAACTTTTTGTTCAAGAGTGTTTCATGAATGACCACTTTTTCTGAAACTACGAAAATACGCCACTTTTTGTAAGCTCTGCAAAATCACGCTTCGTAAAATCTTGCTCATTTTATATAAAAAATCATAAAAAAATCAAATACCTATAGCTTTTTTGCATTATAGTTTAAGTGATTTTTTATAAAACAATAATTAAATAGTAATCAGAAAAAAAATCAAACTATTGAACTAGTTTTTAGAATTCCAGTAAAAGAACTGGAATTCTATATGACGCGATGGAGTTTACCACAGTGGGTTTACTGCATTAGGTGCTTCTTCTTCGATCTTCTAATAGAAGCAAATTTTGTGTACGAGTAACTTAATTCTTTTTAGGATATGTGCACATGAAAATCATCAAACAAACTCAAAGTTACTAGACCTAGTCGCAGTTATTTTCGAAATAATTTGAAATATCTAAATATAAACGAGATTGAAATCTGTTTTTCAAGATATAAGTGATATATATGAACAGTGCTGCCCAAAGTTTTTTTTTAAAAATGTATCGTTTCTTCTATCTTATGACAAAATCTTAAACTTCTAGATATTATAAAAAATTAAAATCATATCTACTTTGGAGCCGTTCAAATATTACGTAAGACTATAGGGGGGCGGGGTGGTTGTTGATTTGCTTATTTTGCGTTGACATGGGGAGCAGGGGAGTCTGGATGATGATTAAGTCATAGGTAGTATTTTTATTTTTTACATTAATTGCAGAATGTTTACGTAAGCATGGGGGTAGGGAGTAAGAGCTTTGCTTACTTTTGCTAACAAGGGGGATGGGGGGTAAATAATTGTAATAAATCTGCTTACGTAATACTTGAACGATCCCTTTCCATTATTACCTAATTAAGTTTATAAAAATTCTGAATATGCAATTCTTAATAAGATATTGATTCTTTATTACAGGGACAGCAGCCTCAAGCAGAAGACGAGAATACGCCACAAAAACGCGTTGACAAAATTTTTGATCAAATGGATAAAAATCACGACGATCGCCTGACGCTCGAGGAGTTCCGGGAAGGAAGTAAAGCAGATCCACGAATCGTCCAGGCCCTTTCATTAGGCGGCGACTAACCAGAGTAGATCGATCCGCACGAAGGGGCTAACGGAGTGCGGCGTCGGTAATAATAGATATATGTACATATGTTTATTGATATTTTCAAGTATTACGTTGCCAAATATCTCCCTTCCGCTTTTTTGCTCTTGGTTTATAATACTATTTTACTTATATTTGACAACCTAATATTTCGAAGAATTTTTCTGTTTTTCACATTTGCTATTTTATGACCATCCACAATTGCAATAACTTTATTTCTGTTCTGTTCTATAGATGATATATTTATTGATCATTTATTACATATGTTGATACGCTACCTTTAGTTCAGAAATGAGAAAAATAAGTCTGATCCAAATTCGCTACCCCCTCTAAAGGGTTTTTTTTTAAAGGGTAGAAACCATCCAATGTAAAAGCTCAATGTCATGAAGATTGACGCCTTCATGGCCAATATAATAAAATAAAAATACATCCGAACATCAGTAAACGATCAAAATTATGCAATTTGCTTATAAGAATTGATCTTTTAAAATAAGCATTTGCCATTATTCTATTACAAATTTTTAATATCTTAATAACTTTTGTTTCCCATTTAGCCCTGGGTCTAATGGACCCCACTGCCACATTTAGAAAGCATTTAAGGTGGCTTGTTTCCGAATATTTTACAGTTTTTAAATTTTTCAACTTTAAAAATGTACGCTTCCGTATTATAGATAGATTAAATTTTATTTTCGTTTTTCTTTTTGTCAATGGAATCAATTATCAATAATCTGTGGGCTTGCAAAAAAATGGACGCCTGTACTTTTTATATTTTTGTAGATAGTTTACATATTAGCCTAGAAAAACCTACTTTTTCTATATATATGAAATTTAACGTCAAATTTCCAACAGCTTCCTTGTTCAAACCTCTGTATGATTTACTGACTATGATTATGAAAATTTTAATTTGTGTAATTAGGCTTTTTTGATTAGTTATTAATATGTATATGATTAATTAATCTGGTAAAAATATAAATACTGCCCCACTAATATAAATAAAATATTTCATTCTTCTTCGGTTTTTGATAAATTTATATTATTTTACAACCTAGTATCTTTATTGAAAATACATTTTCAGAAAAGTAATATATACATATATATATTAGAGTAGTACATATAGTATTAGAGTTTCTGGGGATCAAAATAAGATACTTTGCGGAAGAAACCATATCTCTAAAATGAATTCTGATGTCACGTGCATTGACCCAAAGATTGGATCAAATTTTGAAAAAACTCGTTTTGGCTCATTTAGAGCCCCTCTAACATCGGAAGGCCGATCTGGTTCACCCCCTGCGACCTCCCCTTAGAGGTACCCATACAATGTGTATATATGTGTGTGTGTATGTGAGTATACTGCGTATATTGTATATTTATATTTAAGAAAGTAATTTATCACCCTTTTCCAGGAAACTCGTGGAATAGTTCGAAGCAATGAAAAAAACTTCAACAATTTCAAGCATTTTATTAATTCAACCTATGACTTTATTTATTATATTTGACTGGTTTCTGTAAATTTATAGTTATAGGATTTATTATTGATTTATACTATTCTTCAATGTTATAAGTATTCGTATAAATACCAAAATCATTGACGAATGTATTTAATAAGCATCCAAATTAGATATAATGAACGATTGCCATTATGAATATTTTTTTATTTTCTATGATCTGAATTATTTCAGACTTACCATATATCATAAAAATGTGAAGTAAAATACTTACGAAATGAATCGATTTTTTTATTTTCGATCTATCTTTATGACCTAATATACGAAATAAAAATAATGTACACACATATATCTCGAAGTTATTGAAAACAAGAAGAAAAATCGATTAAGACTATCATGGGTCTAGAATAAATAATTATTGTTAGTAAGAAAGTACTGTGAGTTAGTAAGTGTGTATATTTACTCCTAAACTTTACTATATTTCGCTTAAAATTTCTCTAGAAAGTAATAAATATTAAAAATTGTTACAATCGCATCGCCTATTATCTACAAAATTTATTGTACACATAAATATGCCTATTATAAAATAAAAAATAACTAGAAATAAGTATTTATGTTTGAATGTATGTTTTCTAAAATGTTATAAATTACCATTGGTTAAGCACATGCAAATAATAATAATAATTATATAAACTGATTTTTTTCTATCGACTCCAAATATTTTATCAGACTAAATAGGATTTAAAGTATGAATTTTAGTACTTCAATGAAGCCCTTTTTTGTTATTTTTAATTCGAAAATTCAATTGAAGATCTAAATGTAAATTTATTTTTTCAGAATAATTACAACAATCATAGAATAATAAAAAATAATTAAAGTTTTAAACAAAAATGCACAAAAATTAAATTTGCATGTGCTTGATATGGTGTAAATAATATTAATCTATTATCTTGATACCTCATGATCCACGAAAAATTTTATTTTCGAATTAAACGGTTATGTGAAGTATTTTTATATAATTTATAACTTACGTAATATATAAATTTATATAGCATACGGGACAATAAGTTAATAAAAGATTTTCACCATGTTACAGAATGACAATTTTTTAAAATAATTTTCAGTTTGTTAAAAACATGAAATCATTTGAAAAATATTTATGACTGTTACGAAGTTATCTAAGAATTGTTGTTAGATATTTAATACTTGGTATATAAAGCTATGCATTTATGTGATATATAAAGTTTATAAAATTCATTCACAATCAATATTTTTCATTTTTACTATATAATATAGTGCAGATTGAAGGAAAAGCCTATATATAAACCTGGATATTTATAAGTCGAAGTAATGAATTTTGTCTTTAATACAGTGGTTCCCAACCTTTTTCGCACCCTGCTCTAATAAAAAGGTTCCGCTCTTCTTAATTTTTCCAACAGTTTAATTTTATAAATACTTAACTGATATTTTCAGACTACAAATTAATATGCAATATTAGGTAAAAATTTGCAAAAACTGTTTTTATTTTTCAATATCTTTTCAAAAAATTTGGGTTATTTTTGAAAATAGTATACTGAAAACAAATGCCTTATTTAACATTCAGAAAGTTTGTAAAATTTGAGTTCGAAATATTTTTTATTGCTATTTGGTTTCTGGAATTGAAGATTCGAAGTTTTCAATTTATAATTACAAATATTATTACTTTGACTTATACACACTGTAGCTCATATAACACTAATGCAAAAGCATATTTGTCAAAATCTCACAAATAGGATATGTTATTTGGTGTAAACTCTGTGTAGTAAAAGTTTATATAAAAAAATAAAATGAAATAAACATAAAATAACATAAAAGTCCTCACCAGTATGGTGATAATATCAGTGCACCTGGGAAAGATAGTCAATTACTGCATTATTGTAAAATATCGTCATTCATAGTAGCAAAATGTGTCATAGTATTTGAATTATATATTAAATATATATGAATTAAGTATATATGAAATATATGTGAATGCCGAATTCCAGTGAGCATTGAATTTTTTTACTAGTTTGTCATTGTTATCCATTTATTGGTTAACTTAGAGAAAAGTACCTCAATAAGGAATCCTGCTATGTAGTTACTAGTTATAAAATATATTGTTGATAACACGAAAAAATATAAAAAGCAGCCATAAATTTCCCTTTCCACTCGTATGCCGCTCTGGCGGCAAAATAGATATAAATCTAGCAGTTCGTGAGTGGAAAGGGTTAATATTCAAGGGAGAAGTAAAATCAATAGAATGGACCTTGTCACGAAGAAATGTAACATTGTCTATAGAAATTTATTCATTGCGATGTTGAATAAAGTCAGTCATTGTGAATTTGTGATTCTCAATAGCACAATCAGGATGGTATTCCACATTTGGCTGCTTTTCTCTAAACATATGAAATTATTTAATTTAATTCTAGTATGTAAACTTGTTATTTATGAAAAACCTCGCTAATATTTTTTAAACATTGCTTTGATGAACTAGTATACAAAAAATAGATTATTTGTAAAAAATAATAATACTTCCACTAAATATTTAGTTCGTAGATTATCATTATTTGACACTAAAGCTTATATTATAATTAGGCATCACTTCAAATTGTTTTAGATAACGCTTGAAATTTGCTCAAGTCTAAACACTTAAAATATACAGGGTGTCCCAGAACTCAACGTCAAGGCGAAACGACCTGAGAATATTAACCTTAACAGTACCGAACAAAATCATAAAAAAAAAATCTCATGTTTGGAAATAATGAGCTTTTAGTGTAATTATGACTATTTTTCGGTTATTGTGATTAATTTCAATTTTTTAAAAAAACTTTTTAATAATAAAATTATCAAGTATTTGACTATTTTACAATTCTGATTAAAAGTGCCAACTTTTTTTTAAAAAAAGGAGGTCCTCTCAAAATCGACCATTTTTTTAAATTTTAAATTCATAGTTCAACAAAAAGTCTTAATACTTGAAAACTTCCACCAATTGTATTATTTTTTTTACTGTTGTCCTAGAGATTTTATTTACGGTTACTATTCCAAATTTTTCAATAAAAAAAATAAAAATTAAGCACAATAACGGAAAAATGGTCATAATTTCACCAAAGCTCTAGGTTGCACTTAAAAGCTCATACTTTTCAAATGTGAATTTTTTTTTCTATTTTTTTAAGGACAGCAGTTAAGTTCAATTACACCCCGTTTCGGCTTGACGTTAAATTCTGGTACACCCTGTGTATGAAATATATGTTAAAATTATTTTGTTCATATTAAAATACACATGATTCATTTTTCACGTCTAAAAATCCAATAATACTGCCACCACATATGAGAGTGAATATTTGAGTGTGTGGTGTAGAAAATTTTGGAAAGTTAGAAATTCTTCCAAATTCCTATCTTACTCTCTCTAAAAAATCTTTCTTTTTTATATTATTTTGACCGATTTATAAACACCTATTAAAACAAAAATTTAAATAATATATAATTGTAAAATTTAATATTTCAATACTTATTTC